CTGCTGACTGTGTGTTCCACACGGCATTATTGAAGTCGGTACCAAAACATTTAGAATTGCGCTTGATATTGCGCAATATATGCAAGGTACAGAATCGAATCTGAAGGCTGATACTTGTGATTGAATGCACTTGTTTCACGGCATCTTGAATTTTCCTACGATCACACATTATCGCGACATTCACTAAATCGATGCCAGCCTTAATAATGAATGAGAAACCACGAAATGTTGTCCTTGTTCTCGACATTCACGAAGGCAGTGGCCAAAGTAACATTTTTTTGTTCCCGTCTCGACCTATTCGAGAAGGTATCACGCCATTATATTTGCGTTGTCGCAGATTCTTTCCATCGAAGCCAACCACCGTACATTATTAGTGTGGCTGCTACAAGACATTCGAAAGACCACAAACAAGCGCAAAATCGTTTTACTGATTCTATTCTAGCGCCAAAGTGCTAGGTTGCTTGACGTGCCTAAATTTAGCCGAATGCGGAAATCGAAGCCAAAAAGATGGGACCCATTTGCTTACCATCATGTTAAAGACCGCTTCTTTGGCTTCGTAAGTCTTGTTTCGATAGTTTGAGGTCAGAACCGTCACGGATGCGGATTAGCGCCACAATTGCTTTGCGCCTGATGCCCTTGTCACCTCGAGCGGCAGAATTGGAAGTAGTGAAGAATTTTGTTTTGCCGTGATGAAGGCTTGGCTGTCTCGGTAGCACACATCCGAGTGACTATCGTTTAGCGATGACATGTAGCGCCCAGAAGATGCACCCATACTCGGTCGCCTCTTCACTCGGAGGTCCCACGGGCATCCAGATTGTGGGCACACAAACGTTTTGCTCGTATAACTACACCTATTGGCCTTGCACTAAATGTGGTTGAACATTAGTCTTGTACAAACCTAGTTGCAGCAGCGCCCGTCTGAAAATTGTCATCCTTTCGACATTACATTGGTAAAGTAAATCGCTTCCATGTCGATCTGCCGCCGTTTTGAGAGACATATTAATCATTTTAATGTTATGCTTTGCACATGGACCTAACTTTAACTAACCAAATTACACAAACAAATAGTATATTCAACAATATTCGTGTTCTGCGTAAGCTGATCTCAAAATGGTTCTGGATTCTGGATTTTTGCACAAATTATTGCTGGATTCTGGATTTGCTCTTCGCTTGCAGTGGTACTAGGTTTACACAGAAAGGTTCAGCGATGTAATGTGATAATTCTGCCATTATTGCTGCTTCTGTTTTTTTGCAAGAATAAAACCCAACATAGACTTTCAATGGTTGTACAGGTCTCCCTCTGACAACTTGTCCCACTATAACTAATCGACTCCGCTATTATGTATTATTGGACGTCTAACGAGGTCTTTTTATGGTCCCTAACCTTTGACTAATAACCAATAGCCAATAATCCATATATAATTGTAAAGGGGGAAGATTGTACCAAATATGGGGATGTAAACCTGACTAAGCCAAGCACCGATTGTGATTTGTGTGGTGTTGTCACTGCGAATGTCATCCTGGAGGCTGCGGAGTACCTTGAACGCAGAATGGTGCGTTTTATGGTATAGATTAAGCAAGCAACAGGTACTACGTAAGATGGTGATCTTCTCCAAATGGGTTAATTTGTCTGTAAATGCCTTCTCCTCTGCTGCAACTCCTTCTTTCCCTTTTTATCGCCTCCTGCAATGCGTACATAATCTCTTTTATACTGAGATATGCCTGAAAACTCTATTCGTCTTCGGCGGGTTAAGTAGCACCCTTAAAGCCAGAGTATTGCGGAGCGGAAGCTGTTTTAGCTTGTTTTCTAGGTCCTGCTACAGAGCTCTCTCTGCCTTTTCTGTCTCGTACCCTACCTCCATGTCCTTGATTTTTTTACTTGGTGTAAACCCGTGGCAGTATTTGCAAAGATTATGGTGTGGTCGAAGCAGTTCTTGATCGTTCGCGCCGAATTGTATGTCCAGGCAGAAGGAGACCAGCGCATGGGTGCAAGCTAGTCAACTGTGTAGATATCACCAATCTCGCTACGTTCGTTGCAATATAGAGCGTGCTGAATATAGTAGCGCCGATGGCCTGTTAAAGCGGCGATCATACCGGCATTCACTAGTTGGACATTTGCGGTCGTGTTGAGCGGAAGAAGCTGGACCTTGAGGTTAACAAGCTGCAGGTCGTCCACAATGTGGGATGGCGCATTGTCTATTCAAGGAGAACATTCCTGTCTTGATCCTCAAAACTTGTCAGATCTTTACAAGATAAATATGACAATCAGTTGGAATAAAAGGTTGCAACCATACCGTCATAATTTGTCATGATCGAGAATCTATTCCTGAAATATCTGCCCGGTCATCCATGCTTTCACGTTGTGCCGTAGATAGATCCCAACTTTTATCCTGTCTTCATGTTGAAACAACGCGGTTTGTTGGCCCGGCCGATGAAGAATGGCTAAAGCTTATTAGACCCATCATCATTTGCGATTAAAGCTACTGTGATGAGCATCGGTATAAACGTGTCAGCAGATGATTTTTAATTTATATATCAATACGTGTAAAGATTATTTACTTTTTCCTTTCTGTGCCCTATGACCTCTTTCTGGGCGATCGTCCTATCCGGTGCCATGCTGTAAAACATGCCTGTGAAAGCCATGTCATCAAAGTTATTCAATTTTAACCAAAAGAAGGCACAAAATTACCTGTCTCATCCACGTTGTACATTTTACGGGGATGATATTCGGCAATTACTGTCGTCAGCTTAGGTAGGACCTCGTTCAAAGACTCCATGTCAATAGATCCGCTATCCCCGTGGATGCGGATTGCACATAGATTGTGAAGTTGCTAGAACGTATGAAACCATCTGTGATAGAACTTAATGTCGCACTACGGGATTCCAAGCGATACAACGTATCTTCAAGATGTTTTTGCATATCAGATCCCTGGCGAGGATAACTCCACGATGCTGGTCGTGCAGCATCCAAAAGACCATGGCCTTCTCCACAACTGGGTGCTGAACAAGGCGCTATCACTTGGCGTTAAGGCTGACCGAGTCCAAAGCCTCCAGCTCAGCACGTTTCTTGATGATGTTGCTGATAGAAGTCTGTGTCATGCCCTCGGGGAAATTGAAGTCTTCTGTCGTCCAGGCATACCCAGCCTTCTGGCTCATGCTGCGATTAAAACCCTTATGTTTGCAAATTGCAGGCGTTGAGCATTGGTAAGGCGAGTCTGAGACATCTGTGTAAGTGAGAGGAAAGGACAGCATAACAATAACACCTTGATCCTCACAAAGACAGTAACCTCAGCAAACGACCAGGGTGACTACGTGTCTATTACCTTGCGGCAAAACCTGACCCAGGGTTACAAACGAAAGGTGATGCTCTGTGTTGTTGGGCTCTAAACTTTCGAGATCTTTTGTCGCTAGTTTTGGGGGTTGTTTGGTCGGAGTTGGAAGTGGATGGTTCTGGTGGAGGTTGTGGACAATATAAAAAAGGTGAAGATACAAAAGGGCAATTCAGTTAAATAAAGAGTGATTTATTTCATCTTTGCATGATTGTTTCTATGGTAAGTGCTTTTACTCTTCTGTTTGATCATTAAATCAGCCGACGGATGAAGCAGCGATGTCCTTCTTATCGACTTATTGGTGTCAATATTATATTAGTAAGAACGTCACTGCTGGCAGGCAGTGCTGGTGAACCCTATACACCAGGACCTGAAAGCTTAACTTCATTTTTTGCTCGCACCGGTTCATGCTGCCCCACCAGACCATGTGAGGCTACAAGTGTACACGCGGTATAATCACAACATCACACAATTAGTACACACTTGTTCATACTGGAACATACTAACACAGTATAATCCGATCCCACAGTGCATTTGCACGACACATCACCTAATCCCGGCAGAAGTTTCACTTTTTTATCCTTTGATTATTGACTTTACTACAGTATATGAATGAGGCCGTTACCATCCGATAATATATAACCTTTGCTAACTTGTAGAAAATGTGTCCATCGAGGCTAAAAGTTAGCAGATGGAGACCTGTAGGTTTTACCCCGTAGGCGAAATATAATAAAATCTGTCATCGGATTTAAACTACTATCAAACATTCTCTATTTTTTTTAAATGTCCATCGAAGCTGATTTTTGCAGCCAAAGCTGACCAAAGGTAATAAGCCGACAGGCTCCAAGTCAGTAGCTGCTACTCTGACTGCCCTAGCACACCTCTTCGAGCATGTTTGTTACTACTGTATTGTAAAGCACTACTTAACAATAGAGAAGTGCGTTTTTAACAAGTCGTCTCTGAGATCAGAAGACCTAGCGATCGGGACTAAGAAGTGCAGTCACGATCCCCGCGATTGAACTTTGTCGTATTGGACGGAACCGAAGAGGCTTGATGAAGGAATAGTAGATATTAGACATGAGGTTGGCGGTCTTTTCATTGTGCCATACCAAACGCCTACTTTCGTGGCCTGCTATATATTGCGACGGCTGAACATACGTTAAAGTGTTAGTACAATTGGCTTAATCGCGACTGGTTAATACACCAGCAGAAAAACGATTGAGATCTTGCGTCAACGCTTTTGACGAAAAGCTTCTTGTAAAGCGTACATGAATGCCGACGAATTGGTGATATGTTGTCGCTAGTAGTCGCGAACAAAACGTCGGAAAATGTACTGAAGCATTTGATGCCGTACACACGTACCTTTGTTACTACTATCGAGAACACTAGTCATTCCGCTCGTAGCGACTTGCTGCCACATTGATAGCTTCAACGCCTTCACCGATTGTTCACATCGTGCGGTTAGCAAGCAACAGGCCCCGGTCTTGTTCATTCTCTTGCTGATTGTGCGTTTGACCTGGAGGAGCTGATCAGATGTGAATACGAGCATGCTTACTCACGAATCCAGGATTGACACTCGGAACCTTTCACCTGAGCAGGCGTGTGGTGCATGCTACCTGCTCTAGCCAATCTTCTGAACGTGCCTTCCACGGGATGTCGTATCATGTGCTGTCAAAGGAAGTACTCCTCATACTTCTGCTCGTACACGATACAAAAGCGGCGATCTGCGGTGCGACGAACCCGATGCAACGTTCCTGGTATGCGACCTTGCGTGGCGCGATTCAGGGCATGACCACAGAAGAGCACAATCTCTCTACCGGGCGCGCACACCTTTTCAACCTTCAGCCATTGCTTGGAATGTTGATCATACACATCTAACCCCTCGACACTGGACACGGGTTCTACCACGTATAGACTTGGATCCACATGCTCGAACACGTTCTCCGTTTCCGATTGGCCACTTCCCTCACTATTCGGGTAGTGCAGTCCGTAGCAGACCGAATGGTCCTTGTCCGAGCGTGCGTGGCTAGGCTCGACGTCGTAGCCAACAGTCAAGCTTAGCGCACGATCGCAAATACGCTGCATATGGCGCTGCAACGACAGCCAATGCGTTTGGAACGCGGGCGACGGCCACACCAGCCGCGACATGTCCCCACAAGCCACGCGGAAGCAGTCGCGTACACTCGTGTGCTCGTAGCCAGCATACCAGAATGGCTTGCCATGCTCGTTGCGATAGATGTGTTTGCTGGTGCACCCGGTCTTCCAGTCCTCGTCGTTGCTCGTAAAGAACTTGTCGAACTGCTGGAGCACTTGGCCATGGATCTCTTCTAGCGGCGAGCCAATGTCAGTCAGCACCACGAACGAGTGGCGCTCCATCATCTCGACGAATCGCGCACGATTCTTCCAGCTCAGCTCACGCAGCCGTAGACGCGGCACTTGCTCTGCATCACCGCCACTCGACTCGAAAGCAGCCGCACTTGGACACGACCCCTCGACGTCATTGTCATCACTCGTAGCAGTAACGGCAATAGTGTCTTCGTTCTGCGCATACATAAAGTAGTAGTACCTCGCTGCTGCACTGGAACCAGTGGGTATCGAGACGCTACGAGTCGTTGCCATGTCCATAGTGGCGGAACGTCTGGCAATGACTCGGAGCCAATGAAAAGAACGCACCGATCGAAAAGCTCTCGAGGCTCGTCATTGCCGACGATGGGTACACAAGTTGAATAATTAAATGGCTGTCAAGCCAGCAGCACTAGATCCGCAAGAGCTACAACACGGATGAGTATGGGCATTGAATGCTTTTGCAGCGCCGTAGTTGCCCAAGTGGCTGCGCGCTGTTTGGTCTGCCGGGCATCGATCCGCTCCGACTGAGCGCAGTTCGGACACTTGTGCCACTGTGGCGTACAGCCGTCATCGAGCCGGCGTCAGTCATCCGTGGACCGTTCACGTGCAGTGTCGAAGGTGGTGGTTTGCTGCCTGCTGGTAGCCTGACCTTCTTCGCAGCTTGAGTGCGGTTGCGCTCTTCTAGCTGACGACGGCGCTCCATGTTCCAGGCCTTGGTAGCGGCAAAGCGCGGCGCACTGTCGTAGTCCATGTACCGAGGAATCGATGACGGCGCAATGCGAGTCCTGATGGATGACGATGACGCGACGACTTCCTGTGCTGATTGCGAGGATTGCCGCGGTGTCTTGTGGGCAGGGACTATAGTCGTCGTGCATGATGGCTTCCTAGTGAGCATACAACGCCGGTATATGGTTGGCGGGACCAACTTGGACGTTGTCGTTGGTTGTCGATTGTCGTAACGAAAAGAGCATCTCGAGCAGTCGACTGCAGCGGGCCTGACGGGTTTACAGCCTTCGGCACTGGTCTCGCCTGCCGACTGCAGTTGGTCGGGTGAATTGAAAAGCGAGTCCAGAGAGCCTGTAGAGGCGGTAGAGGAAGCCGACGGGCTGCGTGGCGCCATTGCGAAGAGAGAGGTCTTGATGGTATCGTAGGGGCTGCAAGGCGTAGTGTCATCCACGTCAAGCTCTTCAACAGTAAGATCCTTGCAGCCAACCGACTTGCACAGATCGGCTCTTGCGCGTTCCTCCTCTTGCAGCGGCTTTCTGACCAACTCAGCAGTTCCCTCCTCATCCATTCGATCCTCTGCATGCTCAGCGGTCTCTTCACCATCCAGTGGCTCTTTGTCAGGCGCTGCCGTCTCCTCCTCCTTCTCCGCGACTGTGTGCACGGGTGTGGACAGAGCCGACGATCGCTGTCGGTTCATGCGACCGATGATTCTCTTCACGGGCGAGTCGCGCAACGCAGGCATTACCGTCTTCTTCCACGTCAATAGAGTCCGAGAGGGTGGACCTGGCGCTGCGGCATTGGCTCGTGCCAATCGCTCAAAGCGATCGATGAGCGTCTGCACGCTCCCGGAGCCTTCCATTGTAAAGACAACTGACGGATGGACAGCAGCTCTTCACAGCAGCGACGAAGCGTTTTGGAAAGTGAGCTGCCGACCAAAGAGAGCTCGACGTTCGAACCGAACGGCCACGAGCTTGTGCGTGCGTGGGAAGCCGCCACTCGACTCGTCGCCACGCTCGACACGCTCTCAATTGACTTGTCTAACGTTTTTTCTGGTCCCGTTTTGGACGGTGCTGCGCGTCGCATAGGCAGGTACTGGCGCTTGTTGCAAATCTGCCAATGAACAAGTCGCGATTCAATGCGCCCGTGACACGCAAAGCCAAGATACGCCTTCCGGGTGGATCACTCCATCAGGCACATGTGGCTACCGAGAGGCGTCTAATGCATTTATCGATACTGCGCGCACCAGCTGATGCGAAACGCTCGGTACTGAAGTCTGTCACATTCTAATACGTGCAGTGTCGGAAGGAGAGGCGACCTGTCGCCCGTCTGCACGAGCGAACAAGCCGTCGCTTTGTGATCAGTCAGCGTCAAAGCGCAAAGCCAATGTCGTGGACCGTCAGTTCCTGCGCGAAGGGAGTTTAGAGGTGACTGTGTTGACACTGCTCATCGGTCGTGTGCTTCTGCGCTGAGAGAGTCGCACTCGAGCGGCTGCATGCAGGTCGCTTCGAACGCGAGGGCAACCTGTGCTTTTTTCTAGATAATGACACTGCCTCTCGTGCGCTGCGCACTTCCAGCGGAAGGTGCAGCTGAGTGGGACCTTTGAATGCAGCTTGGACAGGTCATGCTGCTTCTCGGCGGCGCTACAACTGTCTTTCTCGTGTCCTGAAAAAGGTGCCTCCTCTGCCAGTTGCACGAAGGCTACGTGTCGAACGCCTGCGTCCATAGTATGCTGGCTGAATCCCATAACATCCAGCGCAAATACATGCGGCCACGTCCTTACCGATGATGCACTCACGAAACGCTTGCATAATTGTGAAAGACTAGCGAAACTGCATCTCATTGTCGAACGTGTGTGTATCCACCAGCAATCTCCGTTTGTCTTGCTGCTTTGTTGCTGCGTCGGGTCGAGCAACACACTGTCTAGCGCATCGGCCAGCGACAGTCTCATTGCTCGCCGCTTCCCAGCGTTGAACGACCTAAGAGGCCGCCGTCAATCGGCATCCTCGACTCGCGGACGTCGCGCACTGCGTTGGTCTCATTCCGATCGATCTGGGTGATCTCGTACAATATCGTTTCGGCTTGCTTGACACCTTGCTACAGTTACAAAAGCTCGACTTTCTTCAGAGGATCATGCGATGCATACGCACTGCAATCAAGGTCAATGTTTATTTGGTCCGTGTGATTACCCCCGTTCGTTTCCGCGTGCCTCGCCCGACCTCCATGTCCACCCTCGATCACTTTCCCTCTCTCTTTCAGAACATGCAAAAGCAGCTGATGGGGCAGATGCTTCTGACTCTTGTTCTTTTGTGCCACCATCGTCAGCACGCGTCACGACTTGTCGATGGTCGGAGCTTTTCGTCCCTTCGTCAAAGCCGTATCTTATCAGCAAATCTTCACATGTATCGTGTGCGTCAGGCTGCTTCTACTTGTCCCAAGTGAGTGGATCCTTCACAAAGCGTCAAGCACGACAGTACACCTGCGTTCCCCGTCGCTTTCGAGCGCAATTCGCTTTGCATCGTGGCAGGCTAAGGACCAGGAAACCGCAACGTCGCTGCTAATGGGCGGGCACCTTCGGTCCGTCCGATTGTTTTCGTGTCAGTGCTCCAACTGGGCGACGGCGTATGGACGCGCGGTGTAACTTTATCGCCGCTTCCATCGCATTGCTCCATACAGACGTGGCTTGCGTCGGGTACACGACGGACGATGCAGTTGCGCGCCTCATCGAGACGTCGGGATCGTCATCGGGTCTGAGACAAGTCGCCGTTTCGGTCGTGCTCGATGGAGGACATGAAAAAAGTGGCTTGGAATCTCCTGCACGGATACGAACACGACGATCTCGCTTTCGGGCAGACTTCCCGGGTACGTCATGACACATGTAGACATGAGTGCTGGAGTTTGGCTGCGTCGACCAACTCATGATGCAGTCATGTGATGTTGCGCCCGTAGCCAAAAAGTTGGCGCTGCTGAATTGAAAACACACTCGAAGGGGGGGGGGTCGTCGTCATCAGTCATAACGTTGCTCGTGAACGGCACCGTGGCGAGAACTCGAGGCGCAAAATGCTGATGCTGCTAGGATATGGCTTCGACACTGAAGACATGAGGTAGGGAGTCGGCGTCCGGCGTTGGCATTTACGTCCGCATTGCATGCGTCGAAACGTGTTTCGAATCCAGCGAGCATCGGGTGAACGTTGATGAGACGAGGCTGCGAATGGAAAATGAGGACTGTCAAGTGGAGAGCGTACACTGCTCGAATCAAGCACAAAGGACTCGAGCATCCGACACAGTTGTCATTTGTGGACGCCAATCGAACGAGAACTTTTCGTGGATCAAGTGAACGGGTCTTGGTATGTTCCTCATGCATCCGCAGCCTAGCGTCTTCCTTCAAGCCACAGAACCAATAATGTAGTCGACCGAGCAGGCAAGCGCGAGCTTGTTTATCGAGCGACACGTTTTCCTTGAGCCGCTTTCTCGGACTGACAGACGATGAGGACACTGCTGACTGCAGCGTTGGCGCACTGTTTGTTGGAAGGCAGCATGTTCGTGACAGCCTAAACAGAATCGATAGACGCAACAAAGACGAGCAATGTGTTTCGAGCGCTTCCGATAAGCGCCGATCATACGGAATAACATTCGAAAGTCTGACGCGACGGAGCAGATTGCGAAGGCGATGAAGAAGCCAAAAGTTCCAACAGAGTCGATGACGGTGACGGTGACTGCATTCATCATCAAGACCTGTCAATACACCATCCACAACGTTGGCTGACTTTGCTCGATTGAAGAAGGTCAGGGATCGCTCACCCGATACAGAGTAAACGCGACTCTTTGGAGTCGCCTTTCGCTGAACTGTTCGACAAGCAGCGCGTTTGCACCGTTCAGAAGGAGTACCTTAGGCGGCGTCACTACGAACGTGTATGCCCGGCGTTCAATCAGACGCAGTCTGGCACTCGTCTGGTGGTAAACGGCATCTTGCGATGAGCGAGAATCCCTGTCGCAAGAAGCATCGTGTTGTGGACGTCATTGCGTATCCTGCAATTTTTCTCTTCGTCAGGTGCATCTGACGCTAGTCACTTCTTTGGCGGGTGTGGGGGCGAAGAAGCGGCCTCCAATATGGTATGTCAACACCTGTCAACATCGCTCCGTCATCACACACTTGGCGTCGTGCTACCGATTCGACGCTCTAGACATGACCTAGCGGGCGAAGGGTGGACGCTATGAGCGCCCAACTATCGCCCTCTCGCTCGTCGTGCCCACAAAGTCGTTATTTAGTAGACCAAGCTTCGGTTAGCATGTCAGTGGCGGCGTGCCGACTCCAAGAGTTTCGCACTTGTCTGGACCATTAACTCGTCGACACTTCCGATCCATCGGGCTCATTCTTCTTCTCGGCCGGTGATGCCTGAAGTGCAGCACAAGCGTTCAAGAAATGTCTCGTACAGGTGTGACAATCGCCGCTAGCCCACGCACTAAGACTACGTTCCCACTCCAGTCGATGAGCAAGAATGGCTCCATCCGGGCCCGCTGTCACAGCTACTCAAAAAGTGCGGCAGCACCACCATTACACAGCCAATTCGTTCTTGTCAAAAGAGAAATAAGTGCTGTGTGGCTCACCGGTGCTCTCGACAGCCGAGCAGGTGCACTTGCCTGTTCCAGGCTGACACTGTTCGCTTGCAAGTCGGCGTGTGAGACTGTCATCAGCCAGTAGGTAGTTGCAAGTATGTCGTCTCAAACATCACAAAAGTGTCCAAGGACATTCAAATGCATGCCTGTCTTCTGGCGGTCCAGTGCCAGCAGCAGCTTGGTAGTGCCTTCGACGACAACATTGCAGCAAACGTCCAAGTGAGCCAGCGGACGGGCCGTGTAGTGCTGGAGGGCTTGCATCGATGCCAGTGAGTGTCACCAATCTGCACATGACTCGCTAGCCAAGACGGTCAAGAGTTTGCACGCCATTCATACTTGCGCCACTGATTGCTTCGAGCCGTCGTGGACGACACGTCGTTGTTGTCGAGACGGAGGTGACGCAGTGCCATTCGCTGTTGTGACGTTGTGAGCAAACGGTTGCACCATCACCTAGCTCATTGTGGTCCAAGAAGAGCCGCTTCAGCACCGGGGATCGAAGTGCTGCACGACCGATCATCTTCGCGTCAACATCCGTAATCGACTTGCTCCGTCTCAGCTGAAGTACGTGCAGCATGTCGGTCACCATCTGACTATCTTGTTCGTTGCCCATCGACGTGCGATACCTCCAGCTTGTAATCCCACTACGACCATCTCAGTGTCGTGAGGTTGCCGGCGTCCGACTCAGCTTCGAACCCGACATCGGCTTTACCAGCACCTTGTCGATCTTCGCAACAGGCGTACCACGCAACTTGCCGCGGAAAATTCTAGCTCTGTAGGACACCGATGATCTCGCAGCAATGTCCGACCTTCTTCCAGCAAGGTTTGCTGTTCGTGAGGTAATGCTTAGCCTTGCAGCGTCATGGGGCAATATAAGCTTCTTGCACTCTTCTCACACCTTTTGGCAGTGCACTTTAAGCACGTCAACAACATTAGCAACGACCTTCTGATAGCTGACGAGCATGTCCTCGGCACCGATGGACTTTGTTGGCGTCCATTGCGTGAGAAACGTGCGAAGACCGTGCCTCCAAAACACCAGAGAGTGCTTGTGTCAGCTCTGGTGCTGACGCCATGTCTTCTCGGTAAAAATCATAGCTGGCTCTCACCCAGCAGACCCGGGTTCGAGTCCCGGTGTGGGAACATCTTTGCTCTCTTCATGCCGCGCTTTGCTCCCCGATATCATACTGCGACATATATGCGCTACTCCTATGTGTCGTCATGACCGCTTGTGTACGACGTGGATATGTCCGTCAGCAGCTTCATGAACATAGACACCGCGATACGACGATGACACGCTAGCAGCACGTCAGCAGCGCGATGATGTATATTCGATTTGGATATGGAACTAGCTTCTCTTGTATCGGATCAGTTGACGGACATGAATGGTGAACTTGTCTTCATAAGATTGCACACGTGAGCATTTCAGCAATTATGTGCACTATGCCACTATGCCATTGATTAGTCGTGCTTCCTTCAAACAGCGCTCCCTTTCAGGCTGTATCTTGGCCTAGCAAAAGATTGTCTATGCTCATAGAGTAGGAGCCATCACATGGCGCTTCGGCTTCGGCAGCTACCTCCCACGCTACTCCATCTCATGGCGATGCATACTGGACAGCTCGCAGAAGGCCGCCGACGAATGACAGTAAGCAGACGTCCGCTATTCAGAAAGCAGATACCGCATGGGACCTTGTGCACCTCAGACCTGGCATCGATCTTGCGTCCGTGGGCAAAAAGCAAGCGCTTTGCCGAGCACGAACAAACTAGTTGTTTGTCTCACGCACTGTAGCACCTTATGCCCACCTCGTCCGTCCGTTGACGTTGCTCGAAGGTGTCTTGAGCAATAGCCGTCTTCTTGTTCATAGACCAAAGACTAATAGCTGATTGAACTCCACTGTCCATGGTCCCAAGACTCGCAGCCGTCTCCTTGTTGTAAGGCTTTGCGTTGCACAGGATGGGCACGTGTTGCACGCTGGGCCCCAGAAGCAAATTCTAATGGTGCCAAGAGACGATCAGATGCGATAAACGATTTATTGCATTCACTTTTGTTTTCAGCTCGACGTCCCGCGAGTTGCCAGCAAAGCTGAGTGCACGTTACGTTGTAGCGCTTGTAAGCTTTCGTTCCGCCATCTGCTGTTGCCCGTCGACCATGACCCGGATCTAGGATAAAGGTCACTAACAAGACGATTGTTTAGTGCGCTTTCATTCACCTATCATGTGCTGTATCAAATAAAACCGTCACCGTTTAGTGTAATTTGAAGCCATCTCCGTTAAGTTCGTCCATAACGTTCATCAGTTATCAGAGGGAGCACTGCAAACTATGTGGAGTGACGAACATGTCTCGTCCTGCCTCGTCTGGTGCGGACTTTGAGGACGGCTTTCAAATGCAAAAACGTACTTATCTCTCGCTGGCCCGAACCCAGCTCGAACCGGTCCACTCGCCTCACACATTGACATGGACGCGCCGAATGGTACCGCGTACCTCCCCTTTTCCTGATGTTGTGTACATGAACTTTGTGGTTGGCTGTCGTTGGCTCTGAGGACGTGTTCGGGCTTCTCGACGCACTCAGTTCTTTTCAGACAGGTAAGACACGAGGAATGTGATGTGGTTGACAGTGCTGCATGCGACCAAAGCTCGAGACTGATCACTAGTCTCATCGTTTGCTCAGGTATATTCATCACCATGGCCGTTTCCAAGACACACAACGTCGTGCTCGCCCGTGGCATCAACGCCATCTCGCGCAACAGTCTCTCCAAGAAGAACGGCCGTGGCATGGTGGTCAAGAAGGGCGGCGAGAAGAAGGTGACTGTTGTGAAGAAACCGTGCACGAAGAAGTGGTACCCGGCGGACTACATCCCGAAGCCGTTGCAGTCGGCCAAGACCAAGCGCAACAGTGTCAAGACCGCAAAGCTGCGCAAGTCCATCACGCCGGGCACTGTGCTTATTCTGCTCTCGGGCCGCTTCCGTGGCAAGCGTGTGGTGTTCCTGAAGCAATTGGCATCGGGCCTGCTGCTTGTGACGGGTAAGAAATGTACTGTTGATGTTAAGCAATGGTGGGGGACGGTATTCCGATGATGCAAATGTGACACTTGCGAGACACTCTGCCGCCCTCGTCTCGACCGCAGCTGTTCCTTTGTATGACGCACGGGCTGATTTTCTGTTACGGAACCCTTTGTGGGTGAAAAAAGAGAAATGAGGCTACGGTCCACGCGTCATACTGAGGGCAGTGATGTGGATGAGACAGGTGATGTTTGTCAAAGATCCATCAGATTATGAGACCTGAGGAATGCTGTCTTGTGCCTGTTTGTGCTTGGCGTTGTTGATAGTGTAACGTGTGGCACTCATCTTGCTGTCTACATGGTCGTGCGTAGGCCCCTACAAGATCAACGGCGTGCCGCTTCGTCGTGTGAACCAGTCGTTCGTGATTGCTACGTCGACCAAGGTCAACATGGAGGGCCTTGAGCTTCCGGCCATTGACGACGCCTACTTTGCCCGGGAAAAGGCTGCAAAGAAGAGCAAAGAGGAGCAGTTCTTTGCGCAGTCAAACGAGGTAAGTTCCTTTTTTACTTGTGCATTGCTGGTGTACGCGAGGCATCCATTCCCTGCAAGTCAGATCTTCGGGACCAGTCGCCCGTAGCGATTTAGTGGTCCAGTCGTGTTGGAATGGATAGGGCGTTGCTATTGCAATGTCTTGCCACACGTCACCGGTCTGCTTCTTGCACGGCGTATGAGGGGAAGGGTCGATATTGTAGATGTTGCCATTCGCCGATTACAAGAGCGCTTGGGATCGCTTGCTTCGGCACACAAGTTCCTACAAGAGACTAATTGTGGTCATGCTGTGTACAGGCTCCCGTGATCTCGGAGCAGCGCAAGAAGGACCAGAAGGCTGTAGACTCGGCTCTTGTCAAGAAGCTTGACGCCGAGCCGTTCCTCAAGGCCTACCTGAATGCCAAGTTCACCTTGACAAAGAGCGACCGCGTGCACGCTCTCAAGTTTTAACTGCGCGGTTGCCAGCGTGTAAGACAGCAGTGTAATGAGCGTTGAAAAGAACAGTATGCCTGATGAATCTACCGAACTGGAATGGCATTTGCACGTTGGTTCGATCGTTGTCATCCTGAACAAGTCTTGCAGTGCATTTGACTGACGTCGTGCTGTATGCTGCACCGGTGCATATGCCTCGGAGCAGGTTGTTACCGTTCTTCCGCACACGATTGTCTGTAGCTAGCACGCATAACGCGAGCAGCTGGTATTCCAGTGTCGAGACACCTCTAGGGCCGATAACTGCACTATTGTCAGCAGTACCTGTGCCCGCTCTTTGACAGTACACGGTGAACGGTATGACAAACCAGATCCGACAGAATCCGTAGAGTTTGGGCTTGCGAACGCTGCAAGTCGAAGAAACGAGTGCCACGGCGCTTACAAATACATGTCGCCTCGGGCGATAGTGTGACCGTATTCTTTCACGTATCGTATGAAGCTATGCGAGGCCATCGATTGTACGTCTGCGTTCATCGAAACACGAGCCATTGAGCGTAATCAATTCTTTCGTAGTACACCCTCTCGCGTGGCAGAATCTCCAGTAGCTGCTGCTGACAAAGTACTTGTTTACTTGGTCAAAACCTTGTGCGTCATAGACAGTGAGCGTCGAAGGATTGACGTACTCCGTTCAGCATTTCAGAGCGTTTCTCTTTTGTTGATCAGATACGTCCACGACGCGGAGGGCATTTGTGGTATAGCAACAACAATGCAGAGCTAAGATTCGGCCTGAGAACATGACGCACCACAGTAACGCCCGTATCGTCTGGTTGAACAATTACAGGAAGGCCCGTAACAGCACCGTGTAGTTTGACCAGTGCAGGGTGCAAATGGTGCTTGTTCTATATTGACTTCGTGAGCTTGCTGTAGCTCTCAATCATCCACCGTAGTGTACGTGCTACGGTACCAATGTCAACCTTGTGGAGCGCACTATTCAATCAAGCAACAAACACAGTTACGACAACGGCAGATAACGTGCAACAAGATGTGTTGCGACCACGAGCTGTTAACCTTACCTAACTGGAAGTACCGCAAGATCGGTAGAATGACGCAGCTTGGAAAGATTGTCTTCGGCACCTGTTATAGCAAACAGAGTGTTAGAGTGCTTGCACACATCGCACGGGATATTGTAAGGTTGTGTAAAAGTCCAGGCAATGTATCTTCTACCATGCTCATCCATCTTGTTAGCAATGATCAGGGAAGGGCGCGATGAGATGCCTGGGGCGTACAGCTCCAGTTCTCTCTGTAGATGTCGGAAATCATCCAGAGGATCGCGTCCTTCTGAGCCAGCTGTGTCAAGCACGTACATCAGGACCTGCACGTACAGACATCAAGCAATCGGATAAGTACACTAACGGCAGCAAAACAAGGACGCACCTCTGACACACCTTTGTGCGCTCAATGTGGCGCAAGAAATCGTGACCGAGACCGACATTTCGATGTGCCCCATCAATGAGCCCCGGGATGTCAGCCACGCTCAAGCGAAAAGTGTCCGGAAATTCCACGATTCCCACGTACGGGTGGAGCGTCGTAAAAGGGTAGGCGGCTATTTCTGGTGTAGCGCGACTGAGCACGCTCAGCAGTGTCGATTTTCCAGCGTTCGGGTAGCCCACGAGACCGGCATCAGCGATAGTCTTGAGCTCCAGCTCGTAATATTGAGAAGTGCCGGGTTGACCCGTAGTTTTGCTCTCAGGCATGTGCTTGCGTAGTCGACCGAAATTCGTCGTCTTGCCTGCTAGAATCCGGTTTCCGAGTCCTGGTTTACCGCCCTTAGCAGCCAGGAACGTCGCACCAGGTTTGTCCAAATCCGCAACGACTTCCATCCTGTCTACGATCTCATACTCGCCGTTGTCCAGCTCACGCTCGTAGCGCTCCACGCGCTTGATGAGCGTACCGCACGGCACCTTCATGTGGCAATGCTTACCTCTTTTACCAGCAGAGTCGTTTGCTACAAACAGCCACAGATGCCGTTGCACAGACATGAAGACAGACCGTCGAGCTCAGTGAGTTATGTACCACCACTTCGCTAGAAACAGTTGCAACACCCGCTCCTCTTCGCTGTCACTTACGCATGCCGTTCGTTCCCGATCCGCCCTTGAAGTGGTGCGTCCCACTGCTCAGGTCCTGCATCTTGCCAGTCGCTTCGACCACAACGTCTCCTCCAGCACCGCCGTGTCCGCCATTCGGACGTTTGCGCATCGCCGACTCGGAAAAAAAGCTTGCGCAGCCGTTTCCCCCGTGGCCACCCGTCGCTTTCACGCGGATGCGGTCCACGAAGCGGCGGCTCGAATGCTGCGCACGACGCACGCGCACCTTCTGCTTGACGTGCTCTGCGATTCCGTCATGACTGTCCAGCGTCCACTCGTCTGCTGCATCGTCACAGTCGTCGGGTCCGTCCAGCTGCGAGAGATCCACTAGCCCCGCGTCTCGCTCCTGGTCGTCAGCCTCGTAGCCGCCTCGTGCAGAGAACGGACGGACGTTGAAGCAGCTGCGAAGAACCGCGCGACGACGCAGCGCCGCCGCTGGTCCGCGATGCAGGAGACGACCCACTTTGCCCAGCATCTTTGCGTCAATGTATCACCCAGGAATTGGGTTTTAAGGCAACTGAGTGGTTTTTTTATGACACGATGAAGTCGTGGGTTATTCAGATTGCCCTGCGGGTGGAAGCGATGCCAACAAGTCGGAAACATGATTCCGGACGGCGACGGCGACGACTTTGACCGCCTGTACGACGATCGTCCGGCGTCACCGCTCACTGTAGTTTTCGTTGTGCAAAATCAGCGGACTGACGTGAACGCATGTGACGCAACAGGTACGAGCGGCTGGTGGGACGACGCAAGCAGCGAACGCAAGCCAAGCGCGAAGCAGCAGCGGCATCTGAGATCTCTGCGGAAGATGACAATAGCGTGAAAGAAGATCAGCTGAACGCTGTGCAACAGATCGGAGGTCGAAAGAGAGATCAGCAAGCGCATAATGCGCTGGTCTTGGAGACTGCGAAGCGTCTGCGGCTGGCTCGAAACGTTCGGGGGCTTGCGCGATTGAGTCGTTGCAGCCCCCATCGTCTCGCCTTTCAGCTCGTTGCTGGTACTGTTTCGGGCAAAGTCTTGTCAGGGGCGCAGAAGTACAGGAGGGATCGATGGCAGCTAGCTAGGATGCCAAGGAGTCAGGAGGAAGTCACTTCTGGCGTAGCGAGGAGCTTGCGCCTGGAACGAGTTGCTGCCAGGTACTTTCTTTCTCGAACGCATGTGCAGGGCTTGCTTCGACGCGCATATGGCTGATGTCAGTGTATGAGGTGTAGGCTGTACCTTGATCGAGCCGATGACTTTCGGCCTGATGCAGTGACGACAGTTGAAGGACATCGTCGCGTTATTGATGAGCTTTTGTTCTTCTCGCCGCCAGGTGGAACGTTATTATCTCAAATCGGGTACGCCGAAAGCGATAATGCGGTTCCCCTTCCACCACTGCGAGGTGCTGAACGACGCAGCAGTGGGACATCTACGTGATGCCGGATGCATACATATGCTCCTGCTCGTGCGTTTGTGAAAGCTATAATCTGAGCACGATTTGATTTCTGCTGCGGTTCTGATCATGTGGGTTTCGTGTACCATCGATAGCCCTTCATTGACCATGTTCTTGGTAGCAAGCGTAAGAGCAACAGCTGTGCACGTCGCATTTGCCGAACAGTTCATTGATGTTGAAGTGCAGTTATATGATCACCAACAGCTCTTAACGATCACTCAGGCGTCGGAGCAATGTAGATCAAACTGACTATCCTCGCAACGATAACGCGTTTGGCCGTGTACCATTGGCGCTTCGAGTGTGCGGCACTTACACCAATCCACTACTTCACATACGCCTGACAACGGAACCAGCAACGTCATCTACTCATCTGGCGACAATAAAGTAGCCAGCGCGAACGTGTCGGATCCGTGCGACGCTCTGCTTGACGTAGTGTGGCATGCTATATAATGATTGAATGTGTATTGATGCGATCTTGCAGGTTGCGTCGATGAACAGCTCGCGATCGCTCGACTACATGAAGAGAACAACGAAAGTCTCAGTTGATGTCGTCGTCATATATCAAAGAGGCTCACTGTGCGTCTTTGAGCTTTTCTATCCGATTTCCACGGTTCCTAGATACCGTCGCTGAAGTATTTGCAACGTTCCGTGCAGCAATTGCTCTCGACTCATTGATGTCAAAGTCACGTCCAAGAACGGAGGTGATATCGGCCAAGAGTTTTTCGATATAGCTATGGCGAGACGGATTGCACGAGCGTTGGCGTGACCGTCTTACGATGGTAAACACCACTCGATTGGGGATCAAAGGTACGTGCTTACACCCACATTCGGCATGCGAGTGAATGATACGGTATGCATAACGGCAGACAACATGACAAGGCAATTGACGAAGACACTGGTGCTGCGCAGATCGATGCAGGGCGAGTCATTGAATGGGCTAAGGCTCGTCGCGGCTCTCGTTGCACCGAAAGTCTACAGAACGACAACTCGAGTTGCACACCGGCAGACGGACGAGAGTACAGCTGACTTTCACGTTTTGGTGTGCCTCGTTTCGATGGACTGACTACCCGATAGTCCAGTCATTCCCTTTCGTCGTCGCGCACGACTGCGTGACAAGAGAGATGAGTACGCCAAGACTGCCAAACCTACGGACGCGATGCAACGTAGTCGCTCTCGTTGCACCCCAAAGGCAAGCAGGTATGTAAATGTAACAAAGGTCGTTATTGTTCGCTAGGTCGTCCTACTTCTGTCTGGGTCCTACGAGTGCAACCTTATGAGCCATCATCCTCTGTATCCTTAGTCACATCGTTAAAACCTTGTACGACCCCCCCCCAAAGCGACAGGGCCTTTGCGCTTGCCGTCTTGTGCAACCAGCGTTTTTGTCAGAGTGAATGTCACTTCAACTTCGGAGACCGCTCGGCGTCCTCACTTTTCAATTTGCGTTCACCTGCGCAAGTTGATGAAGACCCAACGTGTACGTCGGCGCAAACTGCGCTTTGGCGCGGCAACAAAAGACGCCGCGGCCCCCATTGTGACTGTCGTGACAGTGGAGCGCGCCTCGAAGCACCTGACAAAGCGACGAAAGCGCCAGCAGCGCTCGCGTCAAGCACCCGCTTGTGTCGTGAACACCGCCCGATGCACTCCACATGACCGCATTGACGGGACGTGGAGCCACATCGAAGAGCAGTTTACTGCAGCAAAGAGTTTGGGCGACATGTACGTGGTCAAGACCAGGGGAAGAGAGGAAGAAACACGCTCGTGTGTGTCTGTCAGTCTGTCTGTGTGCCAGCCCCTGAGACCCTTGTCATTTCGTAGCACGCGCATTGTGTTGCGGTTCTTCAAGGAGCACGAGGATCTGCAGGGCGCTGCGTTCCCCATTGTCGTTCCATCGAGCGAGATCTACCAGATGAAGGGTGGGTACAGCGTGCCTCTTTCGTGCGTGGCCCTGTTCACTGCGTGACGGCGTGTCTGTTTCTGATATACTGTGTCTGCCCAGTACCGAGAAAGAGACGGATCTATGACGTTTTGCACGTGCTGGAAGGTATGCGAAAGTCGTTTGCGTTCACGCACGACGTGGCGTACAGTACGTGATGGAGAGAAGGAAGCTTGACATGTACATGCGTCTGCTGCAGGCATTGGGGTGATCAAACGCGTTCGCTGTGACGAGACGCGAAGGACCAAGGGCGGCTATTTTCTGTACTTTGGGAAGGCTGCAGTAGTGCAGCGTCTAGCGGAGATGAAGGACATCTCTGCTCAAGCAATGAAAGCGTTTCGACGGTCCTACCGTCCACTGGCAACGAATACGGTGGAAGAAGACTGCGCTGTCGTACGAGCCTTTGAGACACAGGCAGCAGCCGAGAGGTGGCCGTGTTTAGTAACAACGACGGTTTGCTTCCTGGGCCTGCTGTTCCAGCAAGATTACCAGGTTGGTATGACGTTGCCCGCTGTCAGCAGCCGTCTCATTGAAGCCAAGAAGTTGCTTGCTGTATTGGAACCGAGCTCGCCATGGATAGAGACTCCATATAACGATGTGCACCGCCGCGTGTACGATGTCATGGCCGTGTTGGTCAGCTGCAACATGATCGACACGTCACTCGGGCTATCGTGTGACCCGCGCGACAAGTGCTTTCCACGAAAGCACGCGCGGTTCAACTACAACGTCTTTACAAATCCGGGAGTGCTGTTCGCCTTCCACGATACTGGAGCACAGGGGAACGATGACTTCACGTGTGAAGCCAAGTCTGACACAAGGAGCACCAGTGTTAGCAGCCCGGCACTGAGCGGAATTGAAGACCGCTTGATATCTCCGCCATCGGCGTACTGGCGAAGCGTACAGGTTGACGCAACGTTGGCTATCTCACCCATTTTTGCGTCATCACCAGTCGGTGAAATGTCTGAAGGACGAAACAATGGCGAGATGGCAAACCGGGAGCCGCTTTGTTATGGTGACCGTGCGAATGTGACGTTGCAGTTCAGTGCAACGTCATCGTGTGTGAAGTCTGAAAGCACCACGAAATGCCAACCGGAAGAGCAATCAGCACCCCGTATCCAAGACTTGTTTTCTCCTCTCGGTAAAAAGTCGGCTGAGGGTAACGAGTGGTACGATGATTCGCTCAAGCAGCTAGGGCGCTATGATGCCGGTCCAATCGACTGGGACATCACCAGACAGCTCAAGGATTCCAATCACGAAAACTGGGGATCTACTGATCCAGCTGCTATCGCGCCTTTCGCGCCTGCCAAGACGTCGGAATGGCGATTTCTGGTTGACAACGTGGAGGTGCGATTAGTGGACCTTTCGTTCAATGAGGTCGAGGACGTATCAACACACTCCAGAGGTTTCGTTTGCTGACGAAAGCGTCAATACGCAACCCTGACAACTATTTATCGATGCGGTTTGCCGTCTGGGCTGGAGAACCGAAGACGGCGGGAAAGATTGGTGCCCGTGCATATTTGCGCGCCCATCATCTGATCGCACGCTCAACGAGCAAAGGGAAGGTATAACAATGGGAACAGTATACCGCGTCTTATTTTTACGGGTTGGTTTGGACACGTGGTGTGAGCAAAGTCTGCCCACGAGTACACGCAACATGCGGCAACTACACAGTCGATCGAGCGCCTTGCGTTTTGTGCGAAGCACAAGTTCTGCACAGCGACTGCTGCACTGCTAGATCCATAGACCGCTGCTACTCGACGGACTATCCGTCGCGCCAGAGCAACTTACAAACCCGCTCGACGCACTCTCGCCCTCCTCCTCCCAATCCTCTTCCATCCCGCTGCTGTCCTCACCTTCGTCTTCGGTATCCAAAAATCTACCGGCCTTCTCTCGGTCGACGATCTCGTCTGCCATCGCCTCTGCCGCGTGCGACCCGAGCAGCAAAGACTCGGCGCGATTGCGCGCTAGTGTCGCGGCCAATTGGCTGCCAACGAACGTCGGGACATCATTTGCACCAAGATTAATGATCTCCAAGTTCATGTTGACATCCAGTGCGTCGAGCAACGCCTGAGCCCCCTTCCCCGTAATGCGGTTGTGCACCAGACCCAGAAACCGGAGCGTACAGTTGCAACGGATGGCTTGTGCCAGAGCATCGGCGCCACGATCGCTGATCAAGTTGTTCTCGAGACACAAGTACGTCAACGTGTCGTGTCCGTACAGTGCCTGCGCGAGCGCTTCCGCTCCTCGGTCGCTGATGTTGTTCCCATTGAGTTCCAAGGACTCCAGCGTCGTGTTGGTGCACAGCATCTTCGAGAGAGCGACCGCCCCGCCGTCTCCAATGTCGTGGTCGCGAATGATGAGTTTCCGGACAGTGTTATTCGTCGACAGCGAGCGCGCGACGAGAGCACAGCCTTCCGATTCGAGCCGCTTGTTGTGCTGTGCAAGAGCCGAGAAGTCGAGCTCACTCACGTCGCCATCGTTGAGGTGAATCCGCTGCAGGATCGAGCCCAGTGTTGGACCTACAGAGTGTGCGAGTGCACCAACCAACATCCCGTCAGCCTTTCTCAATGACACACACACGGATAGTCTACGCAACGCCTTACCTGCCACGCGCGCTAACTTGTCTGGAGGAGGCATCTCTTGCAATGACGAACTGGTCGAGCTGTCTCCAGGTAATTTGCCCACTCGTGTGGTTGTTTGTTCGACGGGTGAGACTGAGGATGATTTTTCCGTTGTGCCCGTAGTCGAGGACACCTGCTGTAATCCTGTCGCAGTGATTTGCGAGCCAGGAACCTGGTCACGCACTGGACTTTTGAGAGCGGGAGTAGCAGTATCTGCATCTGCGTGATTCTGTCGAGCTCTCTCGTGGTCGTGGACAACGTCAGGTCCTCGCGTCTCTGTCTCTCGGCAGCATCTCGTGCTTTCCACCCCAATAGACGGACCCCGATCGCGGGTGACGTCAAGCTTCTCGTGGACAACCGCTTCAGGCCTTTTGTCAATGGGGACTCTCATTGGCATCGGACTGAGCTTCAGCTCTCGCGTCGTCGGTGTCAGCGCCTCGATCGAACTGATGCCAGTAACCGGTGTCACCAAAAAGCTCATCCGATCCGCCAGTCGATTCCTGCTGACCAACGGACGCCAGTAGCTCTGCAAGGGACACAACGAGAAGGCATTTCGCCGACGTGGCAGGCACGAAGCAAATTGAACACAACGAGGTCAGACCACAGGCTCGCGACGAAAACAGAGCGAGGGAGTCAAGTGGACAACGAACCTCGAGGCGACATTTGGCGCGACGGAGGTTCACCGTGGCCATGAGTAACGACATGGCCTGCCGGTGGGATAGCAAGTGACTGACGCTCGAGACACTCTCGAGCACGACGACGTGGCGCGGCTGCATGGCTTTGCACAGCTCGGTCTTCCGACCCGAATAAGATGGCAAAGCGTGCACGAAGCTCCGATGGGAAGACGTCGAAAGCCACTCGTGTCCGTGTGACTCACGCGGGCGATTACAGCCCAGGTGGCTGGTTGATGGACAGACGACAGACGGACATTCCCGTGCAACGCATAACAGGGCTCGTCCCTTACTGCGTGCGTACCTGCCACCGGTCACCCAGTCAGTCAGTCAGTCAATACCGGGACGTCTGAACCGATACGCGATGCAATGACGGGACATAGCCCGCTCACGCCGACGCAGTTATGTGCTTAACGCCGTTCTCACACGGTCAAACAAAGACAAGGCTCACGTCTTCTTCTCCTCGTGTTACATACATACTACGCCTTTGCGGCGTTTACTTAAAAAAACTGCTGCTGCCTTCTTGCTTCTCGTCGAGCAAGCTCGGCTCAACAATCGCAGCTAGAGAGCTCCATCACTGCTTTGTGCGCGCTTCACCTCTTGCGGCTCTTGTTGATCTCGAGAATGATCGCCTGCAGCTCAATGCACTGCTCGCGCATCAATTCTAAATCGTATTTCAAGTTGCGGTTCTCAATCTTCAGGATCGAGTTCTCGTCCTCCAGCGATATGCCGCTCGAGCTCGACGTGCTGCCACTGCCGCTGCGTGGCTTCATAAAGCTCTTGGCACGGGCCGACAATTCATTCAGACGCTTGACACTGCCACGGCGACCCGAGTGTGCGACTTTGAACGACTCCATGCGGTCGGCAACCGACCGGTTCCGTCCTCCATGCATCGAGGCGGGGTCGTCTCCAAAACCCTCGTCGGCATCCGAGTTATCCATGTCGTCGTCGAGCTCATCGGCCCACTGCCCGCCGTCGTCAAAGCTGCCATACGCAGACTCGACGGGGATCGCCTTGTACTTTTTCCAGCCAAGCTGAATCTTAATGAGTGCCCGGCGCTGGAAGTGATACTCCTTGAACTCCAGCAACATGCGGGCGTACGACTGCAGCACAATCGCTGCACGGACCTGTTTCCGCAGACGCCGCCGGGCCAAGAAACCCAGGGCAATGCGCTGGATCGTACGTGCTTCGTAGTACATAAAGTCCGACTTCATGGCCTCCAGCTCTTCCATCACGCCGTTCTTGAAGTACACGAGCGTCTTGCCCATTTGGTACTCCAGCGGCGACTTGCGACCGATCGACGACATGAACACATTGCACGTCCGGCGAACGTCCTTGCTGTGCATCGACGGCGGGAACATGATCGCATAGCGTGTCGCCAACTCGCTTGGGGTCAGACGACTCGGGTACCCCGATCGCGTTATACGAATGGCTTCAATCACACCCGCTGATCGCAGCTGCTCGACAATCATGCGCTTGTTGAACTCGGTTGGACTCTTGTTTGAGTTCGGCTTAATGCAACGGACATAGTGCGTGTTGGTCGTCTTGATGTTCTCCATCAGGTGCGCCAACGACGTCTTGAACTGAGAGCCAAGACTCTTGGGGCCTTTCTTGCTCCGTCCACTCCCGCTCTCTCCCAACTCGTCGCTGTTCTCAAAGAGCTCTGGAAGAAGCGGCAAGCTGCTCAACTGGATCAGATCAAGCAGATCCTTCTGCAGCGTGTCACGGTGCTTCTCCATAAAGCCCACCGTCTCGTACGTCACTGGGCCAGCGTAGTGGTTGACAATGAACTGAGTTCGCTTGACCTTGGGAAAGTCAACGCTCTCGTTCGCATCGCCATTTTTCTTCACCTGGTGGTTCGTGCGGATCTTATTGACCAGCGCCTCTTCAGTGTCACGCGGCTGGCGAAGATGGTCATTCATCAGTGCAATGATGCCCATTTTGCCCTCAATCACTTCCACGATACCCTCGTTGTCCTGGTACTGGATATGGTCCCACGCTAATCCTTCGCGCACGTACTCGTCTTCGACCGTCTTGAACACGTCCGTCGTGAACTTCTGCTGCAGCTTTTCGTTCGCGTAGTTAATACAAAACTGCTCGAAGCCGTTGTGGACAAAGTCCTCGAAACCAAAGATATCGAGCACACCGATTTGGCCCTTGATGCTACTTTCCTCCGTGCTGATTGCAGCGTTGATTTTTACCACCATCCAGTCAAACATCTTCGAGTAGATCGTCTTGGCCAGCGCGTCGCGATTCTCCGCCGCTTCAACAGGAGCGAGGGGAACTGTCACGCTATCATTGCGAGTAATGACCGTGCGATTGCAAAGTGCTTCCTCGATCCTCGTCGTGGGAAGACCAAACATCTTGGCAACTTGTGACAACGCTGAACCACTGGATATACGCGCCCCACTCTCACCGCTCGTGTCAAACACGACTTCGCCGAGCAGCAGCACGCCCGCAAGGATCTTAAACAACGCAGTTCGTGCGCTGGCATCCAGACCAATTGTCGACAGCGACTTCTGTGTGCAGGCAAACCACTTGCTGTCGTCAAGACCGGGAATCTGCATCTCTGCCAGCGAGCCGGCGTATTGGTACTTGCAGTCAGGATCCAGACCATACTCCTTCCGTTCTTCGACGGGCAAACCAGCCAAGAGCTGATAAAAAATATGATAGTTGCGCTCGCCTTCGGCAATCGACACCACGCGCGACTTCTCCAACAAGTACGTCTCGCACTTTGCGCCGATCAACTTTCCACAGCTATCGAACTGCAATTGCGTGAACTTGCCGAAGCGCGAACTGTTGTCATTGCGGGTGGTCTTGGCGTTACCAAACGACTCGAGAAGCGGGTTCACGTCGATCACCTTGGCAATCGTCTTGTCCTTGCGGCCACCAGCCACGCTCGCTAAGTGGTTCATCACGATCTTTGTTGTTTCCGTCTTGCCAGCACCCGACTCGCCACTCACAAGAATGCTCTGGTTCATATTGTTCGCCTTCATGTGCTTAAAAGCAGCCGTTGATGTGGAGTATACGTGCGGAGGGAGAGCGTCACGCCGCTGCCGCAGGTACTGCTCGTGCAAGTGATCGCCGTACAGATTCTCAATCCATTTGTACGGATTCACTGCAATCACAATGTCGTTCGTGTACGTATAAGGCTTCGAGGCCGCAAAGCGTTGCTTCAAGTTGAACAATATCGACGGCTCGTTCAAGTACCGAAGCAGGCGCATATCTTCCACGCCCTCTGGGTTGTCGTGAAGGATTGCTACTGGAAGCGACTCCACCTCCGTCGCTGTGGGACCAGCGACTGCGCGAATGATGTCGGGGTTCTTTAGATCCACGACACGTTGCTCGGTATCGCCTGAGTCCAAGAAGGCCGTGATTGTCACCTCTTTTCGACGGTCGTTGTAATCGACGATTTCAGACAGCAGCCACACGTTTTCTTTGTCGGGGATGTAGCACTGTACGCCAGGCACGATCAAGTTCTGCTTGTTCGAAGCGCCTGCAGCCTGTTGACGAAGCTGCTCTTCCTTGATTTCCAGCTGTTCGTGCATAAAAGCTTTTCGTTTCTTCTCCAGGCTAAAGCTGCTGCGGCGACGCTTTGGCGGAACCCAATACGTTTGGCGCTTGCGTACGTAATTGCCACGACCCGTGGAGCGCTCAACCGTCTGACGTGGCTTGAACGGTGTCACAGCAAGAGAGCTTGGTCGCCTACACACGGGCTTCGAGATACCTCGGTCTCCATCCAACGAGTTCTGAGGTAGTTTAAATGCAGCAAGCTTTGGCTTTGGCGAGGCAGCAGACGACACTGTTGTGACTGCAGACACAGGCTTCGTTGTCGCCAAGAATGCTGCGAGTTTGCTCGAAGAACGGGGCTTCGACGAAACAGCAGGCGGCTGCTGCTTCGTAAAGTTGTTCAGTTTGTTCGTAGATCCTGGACCGACGACAGAAGCTTTCGGCGGAGCAGGAGCATCGGGCTTCGGAATGCTGCTTCCTTTTGCAGCCTTGTGCTGTGAACCGCCGCGACCTCTGACGGGCTCGGACTTTGGTGGGGACGTGGTTTCCGGAGCGGGAGACAGGGTAGACCCGGTGTTGCACGAATCTGACGAAGTCGCTGTCTCGACGACGGACGAGTTGGACTGCATAAAGGCCGCAAGTTTGTTCCGGGCGTCGCGGCTTGCAGGCACTGACTTAGGAGGCTGTTTCGGAGACGGGGGTTTGATCGCAACGGGAGGCGTCTTGGTCGTTGCTGTCGGCAGCTTCTTTGCTGGATTGGCCTTCTTGAGAGGACCTGTCGGGCGCTCAGCGTGCGTTAGTGGCGACCCACGCGATGCAGGCACTTGATTCAAGAACGCGTTCAGACGATTTGCATTCGTAGCCCCGCTGTTGCTCCTCCCTTGCTGCTGGGATGGCGGCTCCATCGGTGGCGAACCTGGCGGAGACATCATTCCGCTTCCTACCTGCGGCGACACTGGTGGCGGTGTCGACGGGGGCGTTCGATCGGGAAACAGCTCGGCCGCCTTCTTGCTCGATTGCTTCTTCTTCCTCGACAGAAACCCGCCCTTCATAAAGTTGGTGAGCTTGTTGTTGTTGCTGTTCACTTTCTTGACTGGGGACGTGCCCTGCGAGCTGCCAGTGGATGTCATGGACTCTGCGTCCGACACGGGGTCTTCTTCAAAGTCGCCCGTGTAGCCAATCGTGCCAAACTTATCAAAGAGGATGGAGAGCGTCGCGAGCACCGCAACAAAGTCCGTGCCCGTGTCGAGCAGGTCGTCGGGCTGGAAAATGTCACTGTCACTGAGCCCCTGTTTCTGGCACCACTCGCAAAAGAGGCGGATGTTCGCCTTGGAGTGGAACACCGTGTTGAGTTTGTTCACCTTGAGGTTCGCCTTGGGGTCGACGCCGTTGGCCAGGAGGCACAGCAACTGGCCGTCGCGCAGCATCATCGACAGATGCTCGCCATGGTCGTTCGACGTCGCCGTGACATTGCAGATCCACTCCTGCAGCTCTTCTGTGCGGCGGACCGTCATGCTCGTACGTGGTGAGACCAAACGCCTTTGCTTCTGCCGACGCGCGTCCTAGTGGTAGTAGTCGCCTCTGTCTGTGTGACTCTCTGTCTGCTGTGTGAGAGTGTCTGCTGTGTGAGTGACGCAGAGTGGGAGACAGCGTATGGGTTCTCTTTGCGGGATGGAATGACCCTCGAAAATGGTGCAATGAGCAGAGCACCAACTTGCGGCGGACGGACGGACCAACAAACGGACACTCTCCTGACCCTCTCGCACTGCAGTCGAGCGCACAAGTGGGCAATCGATCGAGCGGCTTCTCGGCACTGTGTCGGCTGCAAAATCGCTTGATCGCCTGATCGCTCCGTCGCTTGTGCCCTCTCTCTCTCTCTCTCTCTTTAGCAGAGCACACGCGACCAACTACAGAGGAGATTTTTTCTGTACTGCGTCTCTGCACAGAGACAGAGACACGACCGGACGCTGGCGCTGCTCGGACGTTGTTTCGCTCGACGCTTTTGTACCGGACGCTGGCCAAACTGACTCCCTGCGGTGCGCGTGTGTGGGGGTATGTGGGGTGTGTCTCGCCGAGCGCAGTAACCACCTGTCCAGCCAATCCAAGTGATCGCGCGATAAGGCGTGCAAAAAGGCGGCCGTCCCCTTCCCCTGTCTGGTCCACAGACCCGCACACACACACGGGTTGTCGTAGGGCGCATACGATTTACTACCGCAGGACCCAAAAGAACGACAGAGACATTCGGACCTTGGGCCGTCTATATCGAGAACAAGTGTATGGACATTACTACAGAAGGTGGTCTCGGTCTTGTTACCTCCATCCATCCATCCATCCAACCGAGCAGAGACGACAGAGAGCGAACCGCGGGACGCGACAGGGGCGCGAACACCCTCCGACGTCGTCGATACGTTGCAAGTCTCTTCTTTTTCAGCGACCGCTCTCTCTCTCTCTCTCTCTTTGTCTAACTTTGTAGAAGAAAAACGTCTGCATACAACTCCCAAGACGCGCAGATATCAAGACCCCGCCTTTTTATCGTGCCCCATCTGGTGGGAAAGGCGCTTGGCGACGTGGCGATTCTTTCGGTCTTGTGAAGCGTGACGCAGGGTCGTCGTCGGGAGCGAGGCAAAGGGATTGGAGGCGCTTACCACCATAGTCGTCAGCCTCTGAGACCATCAAATGATCCACTAGGGATAAGCGTCCACGAGGGTGTGTGGTGGTTCAGTAGGCCACATAGAGACTGCCGAGGTCGGGTACGTTCACGACACGGTCTCGCTTGCGACTACCATGTATCGGCTGTTGCGGTGGTATCCGTTACCATGAGCAACATCGCTACTGAACTTGTCGCTGTAGTCGCATAATTTGCGAGGAGACACCACCGCAACTTTCGGTGATGTAAAGTTCTAGAGAGGGGTGGCTCCACTGCTGCAATCATGTTAGCAGCACGTCTTACCGGCAGCGACTGAACCTCAAAGCGTAGGAGTATCACAGGTTGACTTGCCACGAGACGGGCGTTACATCGACTGTGTAACTACATCGTTTGTTGCACTACAGGCTCTGGCCAGTGTCCAGTCTGCTGCTGTAACATCGTTCGAGTGGAGCGCACATAAAGTATCCGACGCCACGAGATTTCGCCTTGTGGTGCTGGAGATGAAAGATGAATTGCTATCGCTCGTCTGCTACTGCGAGAGACTCAAGAACGTGATGATGTGTTGTCTCGAGAGGTGGAAGCTGACCACTTAAGCGTCAGCTATCGAGTTATCCAGCTGCGCTGTCAGCCACCTAACGATCTGGTTGAAGTTGCAGCGTGCATGTCAACAGCTCCGCTGCTTCTCTTGGTCACTTACATTCGATAACATTGCGGGGGTACGACCGCGGTCACACCTGAGCGAACGAGACACGAGTGCCGATAAATGGGCCTGGTCATCCATCGTCCGTTACCATTTCGTGAGCAATGGAAAAGCGAATGGAATAGTGCTACAGGTCGTCATCTATCACGAAGAAACGCTTTCGAGAAACGGTGTCTCGATGGAGATCTTATGGCTGTTATTACAAAGTCTTCGCTAGACACGTCACAGGCGTCTAGCGACCACGAAGAAACGCTTCTAAGAAACGGTGTCTCGATGGAGATACTGTGACTGTTGTTACAAAGTCTTCGGTAGACACGTTACAGGCATGTGACATCGACCGGCTCTTGGTACACAAACTTATCCTCCGTCATGTGATCATTACAGATATCCCCTGTATACGAGATTCTAGAACATACCACTGGCGCGCTGCACACGGAGGCACAGGACATGACACCATTTCTGTGTGTAAAGATCACCGAGATCCGTTTCCATGACTCTGCTTTTCACATCGCCCTGGGGGCTAACACGCAATACGTAGAGAATGACAGTAAGCTTACAGCGCAAGGACAAGGAACATTGACTATTCCTACGCGGTCATTTGACGATATTTCGCAGGACACGTACCAATCAATCTTGGCTGGTTGGCTGGTCGACGTCGATCACGTAGCTGTCCTACGACAGCGCAATCTCCTCCACAATAAGGTCGGCCGAGTGTCCGATCATCTGCGGTACAAATCGCGACTGGCTTGCACAACGCGCAATGAGTCTTTCTCGCGTGCTTGTAAAAGTCCGTCCGTGTGGTGATGTTTGCTTCCTTTACGACTTGCTGCGATCCACTAATTTACCGTGTCCGTCGAAATGTGCCATCGTAAAAGTACGTGGCCAAGACCACAGCGGTACTTTTGGGTCGGCACGTGGCCACTGGCGCTACCGATCGCGCAAAAGTGGACTATCCGTCGCGTCGCATGTCGCGGCAGGTCAAGCGTTTGCGTTACATCGGATCTTAGCAATGCAATATCTTGTACGGCTTGACTTGGTATCAACAGGCCAAAATTGTATCATTGATGTTTCCATGACTCATAGGTACGCACGGGGCCCAAGGAGTTACAGCTGTGCATACTCAGGAGGCGATCCGTATCATTCGAGGCTGCTCGGACAAAGCCGCACTTGGTCTTCTAGTAAGTCGTGAAATTGTTGCGTTCGCCAAATATCCTGTTACGTGCCGTTTTGCGGCATTTCTTGCCTTGACTGCTCTAGTCATAGTTGGCGTCTTTTTTGCAGCCGTTGATGTGCGAACTTGATATCAGGAAGAGTTGTTGTTTTACTGCGTCACAAATGCCCTTCTCAGGGACACAGATGCCAACATCAATGCCACACGACTGTTTCTCTTGACATTACGCGCTTCAACCCGATCCATGAGCGCGTGGATTCGACGTAACACAGAAGTATGACTTTGTTCATAACGGTTGCTGCTACTGAATGTTTCTGCGCGATGGCTTGTTAAGCACTGACCTTGTCTTCCAGTAGATTGTGAGTGTTTGCGTCTCTAAGTGCGCTAGTTGTGAGAGTGCATCAAGCACTTCATCGCTGCATATAGTCGACTGGGGATCCGCAATCTTGCTCACGGTTTTGTGCGTCAGCTCCTACACACAAAATCATCGCACGTTTGTAAAGCTGCAATACTCGCAAGTTGTCATGATTCAAGCACCAAACTACCCACCTCCAGAAGGTTGTCAAGAGTTGTGATGGGGTCAAGCATTTCGCTCATGTCTGGAACGAGCTCGCCGACGCTGCTGTCGCGTTCAGTCTCATTACCCCAATCATCAATCGTCTCCAGGACAAGGACTCTCACCTGCACAGTATCACGTATACAACGCTATCAGTCCAGCAGATTGTTGCGGATAGAGCTGCACCCGATGATAGATACGCACTGCTGAGAGATCCGCTATGTCCGAGCATTGGATGGTGAGGTCAACAGACCGGGGGTCATTTTGCGAAGGGATGAAACGCAGGAGTATGAGACTCCCCGATATAGATCGCAATATCGTCCACAGCTTTCCATGCTGTGTTCTGCAGCTACGACGCAAACATGGAACCTCATCCCCGTGTATCTCCAGGGCTCGGCGCAAGAATGACACGATCCTTTCAAAGCGAGGCTTCTCAAATCCTTCATCGTTGTCCTCATCGTCCTCGTCTTCTGCATCGAAGAACGACGGGATAGAGATCACGAACCGTGACGGTGGAGACAGCTCTATAGGTGGGGCATCTGGAGGGGCTATCTTTGACCACCGAGCTGCAAACGATGCGTTCTTGTGGGCGTGGGCGGCCAATGCAGCCCACCATTGCACACCACCCCAAAGTTCAGACGACGACGTGTTGCCTCCATGGCTATTTCGTCCAACTGACACGAATGGCTCGTGACTTTGACGGAAGGCAGATTGTATAGCAACTTCACTGATCGAAGTATCTTCGTCGACAGGTCGACTCAGCTGTGCGAGCAGGAACCTTCGATCTTGAAGTAGCGGAACTGAAAAAGACAACAGGTTCTCCTGACCAATTGGCCTGAACTGAATACAATCCGTTTCGCAACGTTTGTTTTCTGGATACGGATCCCCGGTAGGACAAAACACCATCGCGCATGATACCCACACACATCCCTGGTTCTGCTGAGCGAGCGTGTCTGGATCTAAGATGATACTCTGTCCTTGGCGCGTCAGCACGTCACTCAGCGGGAACGAGTAAGTCGTTACCGCACAGTCGCGAGTACGAACGTGCACACATAGCGACCTGTTCATGGTAATTGGTATAACTTCGTTAGCTCGCGCAACTGCACTCTCATGAGGAGGAAGCAGACAGTGCCGAAAGCATCTTGTACCATTCATCAAGCGAGGCAACCACGTTGGGATTCACCAAACGTAAACAGCACACAAGTTTGATCGTGCATCTGTCCAAGAACATGCCAGTTTCGACGACTGATACGGCTAACTCACACGTGATCACACTTTCCGCACCTGCAACCAACGCAAACAAAGTGTGAGGTCACAATCGAAAATCGTTCACCGTCAGTGACACACCCTGGGCTTTCACAAGTTGCAGCAATTCCAAAGCAGAGTGCAGCGTTTTGAGCTGGTGGTCCATTTGGCTCGATTGGGCACGCGAGGCAGACGATTCAGTGGACGTTTGTGCGATACGATGCAATAGGTGTCGAACTCGAGAACCGCTATCCACTTCATTCACCTCCTGTTGGTTTCTAAGCTGCTCGAGCGATGGCAACACACTAGCCACGTTCTCGCAAAGAGAAGGTTCATCGACCGTAATCATTCGCCCCGATACAAAGAGAATGGACATGTCCCGTGTAATGCCGTGTATCCCCAAGCGCAGGATGCCCTGAAATTTCGCACACGCGTAGCTCTCTATGAGTGCACGCTGGGTATTTGGCAACTTTTAAGCCGCACGTACCGGTTGGAAATTCATTTTCTCGACGCAGACTGCGTGGTCATTGCACATGGCTTGTGGATCTTCAACTTGAGATTGCACAAGTACATCATTTCTGCGAAACACAAACGCCGAGCCATTCGAGCATAGAATGAACGCTCCCAAACCGCTTATAAATGCCAGCGACTGTACAGCATGTCGAATTCCCAGTTTCTTTGATGGCACTGAAACGGTATCTACCGAGCAATCTCTCCTCGACTGAATCGCCTGTACTCGCCCTCTAGAACCCAGGAACAACAATGCATCATATGCTGACGTGCTTGCTTCAGGGGAGTGTCCAGGCAAGCACGGGGCAGATGCGAATGGAATGACCATCTGGACAGGCTGATCTAGCTCGAAAAGTGTTCCGCTGCAAATGACAGACACCTTCGTTCCATTTTTCTCGGTATATGAATGACGAATCAAGGAGAACCGTACGCTTCCATCCAGATCTCCCTGTACAATAGCCGCCACATCGGCATCGTTTACCACTTCCGGAAACAAACGCTCCAGCAACTTTGTATACCTCGGGTCTTGGCTATGTAGACAAAGCGAGCACGTCGACTGCTCGCCTTCGAGGTCCGTTAGCTCCAGTGACTGGTAACTGTGCAGCTTGGACTCGAAGCTTCTTCGCGTGCTCGCAATCAACGTCGACGGCGTCACCACGCTCCTCATCAGAATGAACGACGTCGACCGTGCTAGCGTATGTTGAACTGACTGCACGCCAGAAAGCTGGTAAAACCATTGCACAGATTCACAGGACGATCGTTCCAGGACGAATTCCCGAAGCACAGCACCAGTCAATGGCTGCAGATGCACGGGCAGCGTCACGACCCACACGTTCCCGTCTGCTACAGCGATCAAAAGTCGATGACGACGAGCGCCATCAAACTGGTCGGGACTAAAGTCGGCGATGTCTGTGATTGGTACTTTCGACCTGATAACGCACTGAACGAGTACAGTAGAGCACAGAGGTATACATAGTTAGACGTATACAAGTTGCAGAGCGTGAGCCTCTTACGCACCCACACGCGGCCATCAACCAGGTAATGCACAAGCGTTGGACGGATCTTCACGACCGTGTACAGCTGCGACGGTACGTTCGTGTCGGTGGTTGCTGCAACGGTCAGTGGGAGCAACAGCGGCGAGCGGTCGGTCACTCGAGCGAGCTGCGTGCCGCTTGGCATGGGGTAGTTAGTATACGGAGTTGGATACGCTTTTTATCCGGACAAAAAGGCACAACGGGGACGCTGCACCAAAAGCGGAATTCGGCGGTTGGAGTGGGAACCAAATCGAGTCGACAGGAGATAACGTGCGTGTGTGTAATCGATTGGCTGCACAAAAGTATGCGACAGGTGACCCGATCGTGTGTATCGTGACGAGTTGTGCTGATGTAGCTTTGGACCTGTTATTCGGACGTGATAGCCGTCTTTTCACGTGATGCTGCAGCCAACAATGTGTTGTTGTCCGTAGCCCATTTTTACAAACAGAAGGAGTACAGTAGACGAGCACCTGGGTCGTACACGTACTCCTTGGGAGCATCAAACTTGGAATTATATGTTCACCTACTCTGTGCAAGCAGAGCACACAGCGCTCGCGAGGTAAAAGATAGGAAGGCTGCGCGAAAAGGCACGTATGGCGTGTGCAAAGCATGCGAGTTGCGATATCTTCTGTGCTTCGGGGAAAACAGACCACGCAGTCGAAGAGACAAACTTCGTTAGCGAATCGAAGGATGGTGGCTATGTGTGGTGGGTGACATTTCTTGGTATGTTTGGCTTCTTGACCTATGGAACCGGCGTGTGTCCTCCACGTCAAAGATTTACAAAAACCTCGCGGAAGGATACATTCGTGTCCACCTGCACCCGACAGGCTCTGCGTTGTTTTGCGATAGAAGACATGTACGGCATCGTGAAGCACGTTATCATGTATATGCTGCTTCCGCACGTGAGGCAATGCAGCAAAATCCGAGGCTTTTTTACATCTGCACAGATTCATGTCACAAGCGACGATCTCGGCTTGTGAGTGTCGTCGAACATGAGATCGTTGCCGACGAGATACGATGGAGCAGAACATTTGGGAAAGGAGTAACGCTGATTTCGTAAATTTTGGACGCCGAGAGATGTCGACTGCATTCGCAGCACGAAGACAATTTGCAGATCATGCTAACGATCGAGAGACAAGTAGCGACGACAATGCTGCTACTTTGGTCAATTTTACGTCCTTGGGCGACTGGCCTCATAGCTCTTTCAATGCAATTGTCGCTGTCATTGTCGTCGCTGGATTTGTTGCTTGTGCGTCAAGTGCTCGTGGTTCCTTGTGCAGGTACGAAGCATGACTACCGCAGCCAATTGGACACTTTCCGAGCCTGGAAAATGAGAGCGCGACATCTGCTGGACCGATTTGTTTCGCCGAGTAGCCGCTATTGTCGACGGAGGTAAGCGGCGAGTCCGACTTGACGATGGCGCTAGTATTCGTCGACGCGCTGGTGCTGACATCGGTGCTGCGGCCGGAGCTGCGTCAATCTTGCTGCCTTTCGCTCCTCCCGACTCTGTCCGGTCGAAAGCTCCCTAGCCGTATCCGCGTTTTCGGACAACGCATATTTGTTGGAAGTGCGTATCGAGTAATTGGTGCTCCCCTTCCATCACGTTGTCGCCGTTGTCCTAGCCGTTGTCAACGTACTTCTCCCTGGCAGCATTCGTCTACTTGGCCTTTCTTGTTGTATGACGGTAGTGCAATCTTGTTGTCGGCAGTGCAATCTTGTTGTCTCCATTTGATAATTAATGGCTTTAGATCGACATGGCGTCGCGCTACGTCTGGCTAATCGTCTTGTACGCGTGTTTGCTTGTTGCTAGCCACGCCAGGCTAGCAATTGCTGGTATTGCGAATGACGGGAAGGTTGCCACGTAGACGGTGCCCGTTGATGAGGTTCCGGAGGTCCGCTTTACGTACACATTGTCGGGCGCACAGCTCCTTAAGCTCCACGTATTTTGACGCGGGTTTGTCGCGGCTTGTCGTCACGCTGGCACCACCTCTTTTTCAAAAATAGGTCAAAGCAGCTTGCTCGCCGGAATCGAGCGCTAGCTTTTTGCCTGAAGGGCTTAGAGTCCCAGCGTCTCGCCTAGGCGAGGACTCCGAATACTGCGGAAAGTACGGCCACACGTTATCCATCAAGTCAAGTAGCTCGGTCTTGCGGCAGTTGACAGGTTCCTCTTACTGCTAACCTTCCAACACTTCACATTTGCCAAAAATCATTGAGACGACCATTCATATCCACAAGCTTATCTCGCAGCACCACCACTGTCTGCGCATCACGGCGGTGGTCGATGGGTAGCGAACGTTCCTCCTCTTCTATCTGCTGCGGTCCACTATTTTGCTGGACTATGTCGTCGTTTATACAGGCGGTATCCGCTTCTTGGCCACGGCTTTGCAAATCCGGGTCACCAAGTCTAGCATGTCGGTCTTTTTCTGACAAACGTCGTTTGTCTCCTTGTTCGCCTGACGCTTTCCGCGCTTGGCACTCCTTGCGCGGTATTTTGTAGCAAGCTGTGCCTCCGACTCTTCAACACCCGAGCACCAAGCTGCTGATTGGTGCCTTATCGTCTCGCAAATAAGCCGTCCGTTGCCGCACAAGCTGCTTCTCGTTCTGCAATTCTCGTTCCAAGCAACCAATCATGCTGACGCTCTTTCCGTCACTTCATACAGCTCCGCCATTCGTACCGAAGTTCTGAGCGTCGAGGATCGATCGACCGACGATCCGTACTGTCGAAGACCCTTTAGTTTGCAGGGACGCTGCTTCATTTGCATCATCAATTTGAAGCGCTCGAGACGCCTATTCTGATGCTGCTGGCCATTGCTGCCTCGACGCACGCAAATCATCTTCGCCCACCCGTTCTTTCTCACTACAATGAGCGTCCGGATTGCTGTCTTCTCTGCCTAAGTCGTTGCGAGAGTGCGATACCTGGACCGGCGTCAAGCTTCCCATGTTCCTTACTACAGCTGTTGCATCGACCTCCTGCAGTTCGTCAGATTATCTCCTTGTCGTGCTAATCGTCTCTCAAGTCACATCTGTTCACCACGTCCACTTGTCGTCTGCTTTTGTGCCTCACTCGCAATGGAACACTTTGACACAATGGATACGCTGTCATCATCGAGTACACTCTTCTCCTTCTTCTTCTCCTCATCTGTAGTAGCAGCAACAACCTTTCCTTCTCCAGTGCAACCGACATGGACCCAATCGACGAAGAGCGCGAGCACCAGAGATCGACTCGCGGTCCTCGTTGTCGTTATCATGAGGCCAACACGTCGTTCGTGTGGGGGACGTAGAACTGGTCGACCGATGGGCGGCTGAGTGGACCATGTAGCAGCCGGTGGTTACATTTGGGTACACGACCTCTGCGTGTTGTAGGCCGATTCGTTAGAGGTCGAGTAGCGAGCGGGTTGCTGCGATCGGTGCGAAAGGGTTTTTCTCAGTTTGTGTGCGCGGACAGTTTTGCTAAAACGAGAAGAGCGTTTTTTCGTGCGGACAACTACATTCTTGTCCTCGTTAGCACAAGCGCACCTCTATATACGAGCACATAATGGTCTCGAGTGTCCTTTGCCAAATCTGGACAACTTGCGCAGGCACACAGAGCGCACTACTCCGCAGAGAAGAGACGAGCAAAAAACATCAAGGAAGAAGAAGGGGTCAGCAGCGTAGAAGTAACTGGTGATTGCACCAACAAAAACTCAGAGAAATAAATGTATCGTCATCGGACGGCTGCAGCGTTGCTGCTACAGCCATCGCTCTCGAAACTAGACGTCGCTGCTTCAGGTCCGCGCTATTTAACAGAGACGAACCACCTCGATTCCAATTGGGTAAGTTCCTCCATCATTACCTTCGCTGTAGCGCCTCAACACTTCGATGACGCATTCGTCAAAAGGCCATTGCATCTGATGACCTCAGCTTAGCACTCGTCAACGCCAAGTGAGAGTATAAGATGGACGGCGGGCCACTCTGGCTTCCATCCTGTAGCTTCAACACCACGTGTCCTCGCTTTGGCAAACAGGATACGAAAGAATTCTTCAGGACTCAGCCTTGGCTGCATCCGTAAATTGAGCATCAGTTCCAGACTGTCGAATGAGGCCGACCTTTCAGAAGCTGAAGCAGGGTGTCGGCTTCGGCCCCCAAATCAGGGTCGCCTCGAAGTCTAGTGAGAAAACGCCTTGCCCCGTCATATCCTTCGTTGTGCCTCAACACGATAACGACTTGAACGTCGTCGAATGTCACGAAGACAGATCGGTACAATCTAACGTACTTAAGCCACTCCTTGAGTAAAAAATAGATGTCAGGCTGTCCCATAGACCCACTAGCAGTTGCCCCGCTGCGTAGCTTCGATGAAGACACCATTATGTGGTACACTTCGACAGGACTCACACTTGACTGAAGCCACGCTTCGAACATTAGCCTCAAAGTTTCGGATTGATGTTGCGACCCCAAAATCATACGTGTTAGCATGAGGTCTGAGCGACTCTGCATGTCTTGTCTCGTTCGAAACGAAGTGAGAAAATACACCACCTCGTCCTCATCTCTGTTGCGCCTCAATGTGTCAACGGCCGTAGCATCTTCGAAGCCTTTATTAAGACGTCCGTACCTAGCGCCATACTTGAACCAAAGTTCGAGCGTTGTAAAAATGGCGGGCCAGTCTGCCATCCGATCAGCAGCCGCCACATGATGTCCCGTCGCTGGAGGAAGCATGATGCGGAGAACTTCCGTAGGACCCACCAAAAACCCCAGCCACACCTTGCTCATCATTTCAAAAGTTGCAAGTTTATTGTGCGAAATCCAAAGCATACGTCGTTGCATGTACTCTGCGCGTTCTTCCATGCCTCGTCTCGATTGAAGCCAATTGAAAAAATACAATATGTCTTGCTCATGTCGGTTGAGCTTCAACACGTCAACGACTTGGTCATTGTCAAAGCCTCCGAATCGGGATTGGTACTTGACGCCATACCAGACCCAAAATTTGAGCTTGCTACGAATCAGCTTCCACTCTGGATTCCACACAGCAGCTTGCATGTTGCTTGTCGTCGCTGGACCAAACAGAATACGGTAGAGTTCGGTAGGATGCACCATTGAATCCAGCCAAACTTTATGAATACTTTCATGCTCCTTCAGTATTTTTTGATCAGAAAGCAGGCATCTTTGAAGGCTGTCTGCGCGATTCTTCATTCCAGGAACGTCTCGAAGCTTCTGGAAGATCTTCACCAACTCGTTATTCACTAGACTGTTCTTCAGTGCACCGTTTTTTCTTCCACCGTTCTTCATCACTTCGACAATGTGATTGTCGGTGAAGACGTTACTTCGAGATCGATACACGTCGATAAATGTGAGCCAATGCTCAAACTCAGACAAAAAGGCCGCCCAATCTGACGCTTCTCCATCAGAAGCATCAAGTCTGAAGTTCACTAACTTGGGCGACTGCCAGTAAGCCTGATCAGGGCTCACTTTCGACTCGATCCATCGGTTGAGCGTCGGTAGCGACTCTAGGCTTCTTTGCATCCGGTCTGCGTCGTCCTTTGCGCTCGGAACCGTCCCGACCCAATCAAAGAATGTTTTCAATACTCCTGTATTCTTGTCCGCTAACACTTGAACCACTTGGCTGTCGCTGTAGTCGTGACCCAGAGATCGGTATTGGTAAAGATAATCCATCCAACGAGCCATAGTGCGACAGAAAACAAACCAGTCATGCGGCTCGTTCATTGCGGCCAAAGGAGGTGAGGAAAGCATCATGCGGTAAGCTTCTGTGGGGCTCAAGCTTGACTTAAGCCACACCTCAGATACCAGTGGCCAAGCCTCAGGGTATTGAGTGAGTAGGGTCCGTTGGCACATGTCCGCAAAGTCTTTCCGGTGCTCGAAGCCTCGAAGCCAGAGGAAAACTTCCGCCACTTCTCCTCCTCTTCCATTCTTCATCAAGACGGAAAGGGAAGCAGCTGGATACGCTTCGACGGGGCCAGGCATGTGCGACTTGGGAATCCATTGTATCAGATTTGCACGAGCATCGGACGTTTCTATCTCCTTCTTAAGCATGAGACGCGCGAGCGCTCCCTTTAAGTGTGGTTGTTGCGTCAACAGCAGCTCGTCCGCTTCTAACAACAAATGTCCTGCGTCGGACATCCAGGGCTCGTTGATCCCTCTGTCCTCTTGTTCCCGGTGTTTGCCGTCGTTCTTGTCGGCCACTGAGTCTTGCGGCTGCAAGCGAGTTGGCTCGTCAGCTTCGGTCGTCTCCAGACGAGGCGAACCGTCGGACACGTTCCAAGCTACAGCGTTCTTCTGTATGCCGCCCGTGGCTGTTGATGCAGCACTCGCGCATGGCAGAAGGACGAAAAAGCACACCGCAATATGACAGAGTAGACGCATACTGGGGTCGGATGGTGGGTGACAAGGCATATTGCAGAATGATCGGCTGGAGCTGCGATTCCTTCGGCTCGACCACAAAGTGGGCATGGACCACGGACTGTATCCCCTACTCCAGCAGAAAAGGTCCCCGCACCCATCTACGCTGATCCAAAAACGGTAGGTACCCGCAGACGGTACTACGGGAGGAAGACCCGGCCGATGGTAATTCGATGTTCCCCCGGCTTTTCGCAAACCATTCGAAAAAACTCCGGCGGACGAGCACCTGCGAAGACCATAGACTGGGCTCGTTGAAGTATCTCGGGTGGCGCAACCGTTTTAGACCAGATTCAGTCCCTGACGCCTGCCTACAGAGTAGGAATGAGTTCGTACTGCTGTCGACGATCCTGGCTGATATGAAGTCCGGGTACGTAAAACATAAAGTGGCTGACCAAAGTGACATAGTTGAGGCGGATGGTTGGATATGAGGTACACAAGGCTTGGGACGATTGGGCGTCGATTGGTATCCTGCCTCACTTGCTGTAGCAAGCACTTCTCCCCTCAAAAATTGCCCGCGTAAAACAAGGTGTACGGCCTCTGCTTGATATGATTTGCGCTTCGTTAAGATAGCTTCGTTGACTTGGCGTTGAGGATGCTGAACGGATCAGACTCTTGACTTCGATGAGCACGACCGTCCTGTCCATTACAAACAAAGCGACGGCTTTGTCTTTCCATGTGATCACCGCGCTTGACCTTCCGACCCGTCACCGTTCGTTCCTCACACAACGGAATCACGTTGACTAAATACGCTGTCCTGCCAACTCTGCTCACCCAGGCACTAAAATATAGGCCCTCTGTAACGGGGCAGCCCGTTACATGGAATTGTCACTTTCTTAAAGTGACAATAAAGAATATGAAGTTGAATATTCTTTGAACAATATCACCAAAGTGGTGATATTGAAGGGTCGACCAAAGAGTCTGTTCATCGGTTGATATCTTGATGATATCAACCCACCAATCGCCGCAAGACGCGCGCAATGAGTGGTGACGAGACGTCACCATACACTCAGTTATATTAACATAATAAAGTCAGGTTAAACAGAGAGACAGTAACAAAAAGACTTAATTATATTAATATAACAGTTCTACTTTTCCCTTATCTACGCTTCCTCGCTTGCCTCGTGTACGTCTGTCGGGGCACCCAAACCCTTGCGTTAAGTTCACGCAAGGGTGTGCCCCGTTACACCTGGTAGCACTTTGTAGTCCTTCCAAGGACCACAGCATCCAACATGAACATGTTGGATGATGAAGAAACCTTTCACGCCACGCGTGAAGGGTTTAACCATTTGAGTGACATAGAATGGAGTGCGGTAGAACGAATGAGTTCTACCGTAGGCGAGTTCGCCATTGGCGCCATGTTGGAGTCTTTAGACAGAGACCAACAACATGCCGCTATGGCCAAGTTCATCCAAAGTGAACTTGTCGCCGAAAGGGAAAAGTAGTCTTGCTTCACCAGCAAGGCTCTCATCAGGCCGAGCAGTTGAGAGAACTCGGTGCTCAACAGACAGAGCTGTTGAGACAGCAGCAATTCCATGCTGCTGTGGGCGGGACGGCACATGCGCGTCGTCCCGAAGTCATGAAAGTTGACATCTCCAAGTACAGTGGAGTCCCGGAGGACTCCCTGTTACTGTGGTTTGTCGAACTCGACAGAGCCTTAAGGGCTCGTCGCGTCGAAGATGAGCAAATTAAACTCATGTTTGCTCAAACCCACTTGGCAGGACGTGCCAAAACTTGGTCCCTGGGGCTCGAGAGTAGCGACCCACATGTGTTTAGGTCGCTAGATAACTTCAAGGCCCGGCTCAGACAAACGTTTGAGCCTCCACGCGCTGAGTTCAGGGCTCGTTCTGAGCTCCTGAAACTCAATCAGGGTAAGCGTGATGTGCACGCTTACGCTCAACATATACGACTCCTCGCGAGTAGTATAACTGCTAACCCAGTCCATGAACACACGTTGATTACGGTGTTCATGCAAGGGCTCGCAGAAGGGCCCGTCAGGAGCCACCTGTTCCGCCTTGAGCTGAATACGCTGGAATATGCGATATCAGCCGCGGAACAGGAAGACTTTAGCATGAGACAGGCTCATGCTAGCTTAAACTCTTATCGTCCACCTAGACGACAAGAGATCGGAGGTCCGGAACCAATGGACCTCTGCTATGTTGAGAGCGAGAGACCTCGCTCTTCAAACAACAAGCGATTGCTGAAGTGCAATCGCTTTCAGAAGTTAGGGCATTTCGCACACGAGTGTAGTGCTCCACGCCCAGTACCAAGCAGTACCGAGCGAAATGGACGACCATTCGCCAAGAAGGGCAATGGGCGTGGGTCCAGCGCTGTTGCGAAGCCGCAACAGCGAGACGGACCATCAAAAAATGGTCGGGGTCAGTAGGGGCGGAGCGCCCTACTGATCCAGCAACCTCAAGAGAATTTGCAAATCTCTTGACGAAAGCTGCTCCAGATACACAATCATTGTGTGTCTCTGCACCTGGTGATGACGTTTCGCTCATCACCTTGAAGTTGGAAGCGACAAATGATTTGTCGCTTCGTGCCCTAGTAGACTGCGGGGCGTCGAACAACTTTGGTCGTCGCCAGTCACTAGAGGGTCGTAGGCTCAAGTTCGTTGAGCGCGACATTCCCCTCACAAGGATGACGGTGCGCCTTGCAACAGGCGCATCGATAACCGTTGAGAAACGTGTAGTAGGAATCCACTACACGTTAGAGGGCGAACAGTACGATGATGACTTCATCGTACTGGATCTGGATGACAAATTTGATGTCATCCTGGGATTACCTTGGCTCAGAAAGTACGAGCCAAGAGTGAGCTGGCAGCATCGATCCGTGAAGATGCCTGCCGCTTGTTCATCAGATGTCCATCTGATGAACATCTTGGAGCGTCCACAAGCGTGTGGATGTTCTGCGAGTTGAGTACGATGGCCTCGCTTGCGGTACGGTCGTTAGCACGACTGCACAAGGTCACAGTGTAGTTGATCACTACACTGTGGAGCAAGCTCCCGGCGGCTGTACAGAAGTACAGGCTGCGCCGAAGGTCCACCACTCGAATAAGTCGAGTGGACTGGGACGTAGATGTATGCCTAGCGGGCAGCATCTTAGAAGTAAGAAACCTGTTGCCTCCAAAGGGCAACATGGACATCCTAGGTCGACTGGAGAGTCGAACGTAGAGGATCGGTCCCTGACTGTGGTTGCACAGCCACAGTCAGAAGACGTCGAGGGAATAAGTCCCCACGTACTTGAGGAAGGAATTCCTCAAGAGTCACTTGCTGAAGGATTAGGCCTTCAGCAACCTGTGGAACGAAGTTCCCAGGAAGAAACCGAGACGTTGAACGTCTTGGTTAATGACGGATCAAGCGTAGGCGCTTATACGCTTGATCTGATTGTGCCTCCGAATTCAACTTCGGAGATAACTCAGTTGCCAACGCTAGAACCGAAACGGTTCTTGCGTGATCTGCGTAGTGGCAAAGTCAAGCAGATCTGCATACTCGTCACAGAGGACGAGTATGTGGCCGATATTCGGTCGGCGACAGTATTTGCTGAGAACGAACGGGTTCTCAGCAGCTCATCGATGGACGAAAGTGTCCTCGATGAGAAGACTCGGATTGGGCGATACACGTCTCAATCCTGGGAGTCACTTCAGGCAAATCCTTTGTATAAGGATTTGATCAAATTCAAGGATGTATTCACTGAATCCGTACCTTGCGAGTTGCCTAAGGACAAAGGCACTCGACACGAGATCGAGCTCAAACCGGGCTCGAAGTACTGTGTCATGAAGCAGTGGCCACTGCCTCGTGAACAAGTACTAGCGATCGACAAGTTCTTTGCCGATCGCTTAGCAGCGGGCCATGTGAGGGAATCAACATCCCCTCACAGCTCTCCGACCTTCTGTGTGCGAAAGACCACAGGAGGATGGCGGATAGTGCACGCGTTCAACAAGTTGAATGCTGCAACGGTACCGGCTCAGACGCCGATACCGAGGAAGGACGTAATCATAGATGGTATGTCAAAGAGTACCATCTTTTCGTCCATGGATCTGATGGATGGATTCTATCAGATCCTCATGCGTGAACGGGACATCCCGTACACGGCAGTGAGCACCCCCAGCGGTATGCTGTGGGAGTGGCTAGTGATGCCACAGGGGCTGAGCAATGCCCCTGCAACTTTCAACAGATGTGTCACAAATCTGTTGAGACCGGTGCGAGACTTCGCACCGAGTTACTTCGACGATGTGTTCGTCCATAGCCGGGCTATGGACGGAAAGACGGACGTTGAAGTTCACAGAACTCACGTTCGTCAGGTCCTTCAACTTATGCGAAAGCATAAGTTGTACGCAAACCTCAAGAAGTGTATATTCGCGGCTAGCGAAATACCACTTCTTGGGTGCATCGTGGGTAAACACGGCGTACGCCCTGATCCCGAAAAGATCAAGGCGATCACCGACTGGCCAGTGCCAGTCGATGTCAAGGGACTAAGGAAGTTCCTTGGACTAGCGGCGTACTTGCATAAGTACTCTCGCAACTACGCCGAAATGACGGTACATCTTTCTTGTCTACTCAAGAAAAATGTCAAGTGGTCATGGAACGCTGAGTGCCAGCGTTCCTTTACAGGTATCAAGCGGAGCTTGATGTAGTCGCCGATCTTGGCGATTGCAGATCAGGACAGACCATTTCATGTGGTCTGTGACGCCAGCGATTTTGCGATCGGCTGTGCGTTAATGCAATTTGATGCAGATGGCGCAGAGCGCGTCATCTGTTATCAGTCGCGTCAGCTGCAGGCAGCTGAGCGCAATTACCCAGTGCATGACAAGGAACTCCTTGCCATGAAGTACGCACTGGCTAAGTTTCGCGTCTATCTCCTCGGAGATAGACCGTTTGTTGTCTATACGGACCATGCGTCACTACGCACGGCCGTAAACATCCCACACCTCTCGCAAAGGATGGCGAGGTGGCTCTCTTTCT